GATCCTTAACTGACCCAGAATAATCTGACCCTGAATAATCTGTCCCAGAATAATCTGTCCCTGAATAATCTGACCCTGAATATTTTGACTCTAAATTATCTGACCCTGAACTTCCTTTTCTTAAATTGAACCCTTAGCCCAAACAACATGAGAGGTCAGAGGTCAGCTGATAACCAGACGTGTTTCCATTGATGTTTGAAGGAACTTCATCTAAAATATAAATCTTGTCTCTAAATGTTTCCAATCTTTGCTTCAGGTGTTTTTTACCTTAAATTGTAACTAAATCCCTAAAGAGGAAATGAAACCAGCTGTTTCCTCTGCCGCCATCTTCGTGTCTGGATGGTCGCTAAAGGTACTGATACCATAAAGAGGCGACACTGTTTCCTCCGTCCCATGGAGGAAGACGCTCTTCGCCTTCTGCTCAGAGTCCTGATGGGATGGTCTGAATTCAGCTGGAGCGACTGGTTTTAGGGAGAACCATGAGGAGCAAAACCTGCAGACGGGTTCCTTTGTTCTCCTGAGGAGACTGAACGTTTCTGCGGCTTCCAGACCCCCGCTGAGCTCATGGCGCCCCCCCCCCCTCCCGGCCTTCCCTGTCAGAACAAAGGCCCGTCTTCAGTCTGAGGGAAAATATTCAGAACAAACAGTTTGTGGGAGAATCTGCGTCTCAAAGAGCCTTTTATGATGCGCGCTGAGGGCCGTGGGCTGCTAACGGCTAACACGGCTAACAGCTGTCTGAGGCCGCATTCCTGACATTCTCTGGATGGCGCTCAGCTTTCCCTGTCCTCCATGTTTTCCCTGCTGCCTCTCTCTGACCTTTTCCAGTTCCTTTCATAACCATCTGTGTGTTTGCAGTGGGAACCAGTCCAGTATTTCAACAACAAGATCATCTGTGACCTGGTGGAGGAGAAGTTCAAAGGCATCATCTCCATCCTGGTGAGGAGCTGCAGCCGGAGCTTCTGAAGCTGAAGAAAACTCCTTTCAGACGCTTCAAAAAAGTTTTCAACCTGCCAGATTTCAGGCACCGAAAAGCAAAACGTTAAAAAAAGAACAAAATAAATAAATAATTTGAACTTTAATTGTAGAAATTCCCTCTCTGCATGTATCCCATCCCCCCGGGGAGCAGCGGGCTGCCATGGTGCGGCGCCCGGGGAGCAATCAGTGGTTTAAGGTCTTACTCAGGGAGTCAGAGTGGCACTCTGTGGGAGTGGGTTTCAAACTCAAAACCTCAGAATTCCAAGCCCTATTCCCTAACCATCAGGCCGCTGCTCCTGCAAACTTCCGCTTTAGTTATTCATCTACAAAATAATCAAATTACTTTTTACCTGTTGCTTTCAATCAGGTAGGTTGGTAACTTAGCGCTTTAGTCGCTATATTTAGCCACTTTTCAGACCCCTCTAGCACTTTGATTTCTAAAAAGCT